TGGGGAGGAGGGAGGAGTTGGGAGAGGAGGGAGGAGGGCTGAGGGAGCAGGATGAGGTGGAGGGATGAGGAGGGTGGAGGGAGGCAGGAGGCAGGAGAGATGAGGCAGGAGAAGGAATGGGAGGCAGAAGGAAAGGGGATGAGGGAGGAGGAATGAGGGTAGGGTGCGTGGGAGGACAACCGATGAGGCGGAGGAGGAGGAGGGAGGATGAGGAGGTGGGAAGATCGGAATGAGGACGAGGAGAACGAGGAGAAGCGAGGAAGGAGAGGTGGAGGGCGAACGAGGAGGGGGAGGAGGCGGGCGGGCGGGCGTGCTTGCGGGCGGCCGGGCGGGCGGGCGAGCGTGCGGGCGGGCGCGTGAGTGAGGCGGGCGGGCGGGCGCGCGAGCGGGCGCGCGCGCGGGCGGGCGGGCGTTTGGGCGCGCGGGCGGGCGGGCGTCATTGTCGTCGTCGTCGTCGTCGTCGTCGTCATTGTTGTCGTCATTGTCGTTGTCGTCGTCGTCGTCGTCCTCGATGTCTTCATCATCGTCGTTGTCGTCGTTGTCGTCGTCGTCGTCCGCCGTCGTCGTCGCCGTCGCTGTCTTTTTGTCAGTGGAGGAGCCACGTGCCGAGCAGAGTTTGGTGTTGACCTCCGCGGCGCTGCCGCGTCGCATGCAGCAGGGCAGTTCTTGTCGTTGTGCGGCTCTGCCGCGTGCCGTGTAAGGTTGTATTGTTTTTGTTCGTTGGCCTGTCGTTGCCACGCTGCGAATCGAGGGGCGTTGGATTCGTCTCCGCCCCACGGCTTTGGCCACGTGGTGAATAACATGAATGTCGTTGTTCGCCCCCCCGGGCGTTGCCGTCTGGCGAGTAGAGTGAGATGGTGTATTTTCGGCCCGCGCGGTATTGCCACGTGACGAGTAGAGTTGAAGTGTATTTTTTTCGCACACCCCATATCGTTGCCACGTGGCGAGTGGAGTGGGATAGTATTTTTGTATGCCCCTCAGGCCTTGCCACGTGGCGTTGCCAGTGGCAAGTACAGTGGAGTATCATGTTTACCGCTTCGCTTCGTTGCCATGTGCCGAGTAGAGTGGAGTCATTTTTGCTTTGCCCCGCGGGCGCTGCCACGTGGTGAGTGCAGTGGAGTAGTATTTGTTTCCCCCTCCGAGCGTTGCCACGTGGCGAGGAGAGTGGAGCATCATCGGTTTCGCTCCCCCAGCGTTGCCTCGTGGCGAGTCGGGTGAAATAGCAGTTGTTCCGCCCCGCAGGTGTTGCCATGTGGCGAGTGGTGAAGTGGAGTAGTTTTTGTTTACTTCCCCAGTCGCTGCCACATGGTAATTCGAGTGGAGTAGTGTTGTTTTCCGCCCCGCAGGCGTTGCCACGCCGCAAGGAGAGTGGACGAGAGTGGAGTAGCATATTTTTCGCCGCCCAGGCGTTTGCCACGTGGTGAGTACAGTGTATTAGTTTTGCTTTCCACGCCGCAGGCGTTGCCGCGTGCCGAGTGGAGGGAGGAGGGAGGAGGTGGGAGGACCGAGGAAGGAGGGGGGGCGAGGGAGGGGGCAGGAGGGAGGAGGGAGGAGGGAGGAGGGAGGAGGAGGAGGAGGAGGAGGTGGAGGAGGAGGAGAATGAGGAGGAGGAGGATGAGGACGAGCGAGGAGGAGGAGGATGAGGAGGAGAAGAAATGAGGAGGGAGGAGGAGGAAGAGGACGAGGAAAAGGAGGAGGAGGAAGAGGAGGATGAGGCGGTCGAGGAACACGATGACGACGATGATGATGCTGATGATGATGATGATGATGATGATGATGATGATGATGATGATGATGATGCTAATGCGGATGAGGATGATGAGGATGATGATGATGCTGCTGGTGGTGGTGATGATGATGATGAGGATGAGGATGGGGATGATGATGATGATGAGTGATGATGATGATGCTGATGCTGATGCTGATACTGCTGCTGATGATGATGATGATGATGATGATGATGAGTGATGTTGCTGCTGCTGCTGCTGATGATGATGATGATGATGCTGACGATGATTATACTGACGATGATGATGATGATGATGATGATGATGATGATGATGATGATGATGGTGATGGTGATGGTGATGGTGATGGTGATGGTGATGGTGATGGTGATGGTGGTGATGATGATGATGATGATGATGATGATGATGATGATGATGATGGTGGTGGTGGTGGTGGTGAGGATGATGCTGATGATGAGGATGGGAACAGATCAGGAGGAGGATAAGGAAGAGGAGGACACGGATGGATGATGATGTCAGATATGGCGCGAGCGCACCTAGCTTGACTCCGCCCCTCGCTTCCCGCCCCCTCCTCCCTGCTGCGTTCTGAGGCATATTCGAAATACGGCCAAGAAGCTGAACCAAGGACTACTTTGGGCTTAAGAGGGGCCTTGGTTCTCGGGCTGCTCCTCAGGTCCAGGTCGGGAGACCCACTCGTTGCCGAGGCTCGCCGTGGCAAGCAAGGCCCCCCCGCTGCTTTTTTTGGGGCGCTCCTCCTTGACAGCACTATGACTGTAAACTGGTAGGATCTCGCCTCATCGACGCCGCGGCGGACGGCGGGTTCTCGAAGAAGAAAAACGACATACACTTGACATCCGCGCGGAGTGCCAACAGTTTCTATTTATGCCGTCTTTCTTTTCCTCTAGGACGGCGGGCTCGATGAGGCTCGAGGAGGCTGTTCGCAGCCTTCGGCCTCTGGAGGCTGGATCCCAGGGGCGGGAAAGCTGCTCCGGCGTCGGAGGCGCATCGCCGATGCATCGGCGATCCGCTGCGGCCCTCTACCATGGGCGGCCTCCGGAGATCCGCGGGCGACGTGCGTGCACCGTACCTCCCCCCCTCCTCCCCCCGCGCGGCCGCCCTCGTCTTCTTCCCTCCTCCCTCCCGCACGCCTGAGAATTCGCCTTTCGGTTGCTCCGAATAGCCCCACGCTGGAGCGGACTGCCTCTGCC